AATTGTAGTAAGCTTATTGAATTCATGTGCAAAGAATTTTCATGAAAAATTATGTGTATTTGCAATGTGAGATGCCTACAATGTATCATATGAAGGCAAAGTACATAATTCTTTGTGTCAAAGATATGTTGTCTCGTGGTATTTTGTTGCTTGAAGGTAAATATAGACAAGAGTATTATAAGCATTCAAAGAATTATATTCCTTGTCATATTTTTATTTATGATTCTTTATATTTTGAACTAGAAGTTGTATCAAGTGGTTTTCTATATTTTATATGTGGTAAGAAGAAAGGGGCTAAATATTTCATATTAATCTCTAGCACTCAATCTATTGTATATGGCAATTTGTATTTACACTTCAATTGTCATGTAATGTGGTATTAGATGCCAAATTCCATCTAATCAATGTAATCTAGTTTAATTTAATTTAGTTGGTTTTTATTCAATTAAAATTTTATATTTAATTTATCTTGTTAGTATTAACTAAGATTTGAAGACTTAGGTAGAAAAATCCCCTTGATTTAACATTCTTGTTAAGTCAAGTCTTGTCAAAGATTTTGAGAGAAAAAAAAAAACCTTTGTTGTAAGATTTTGTTTTGTTATGGTGATTTTGTTTAGTCTTTTAGAAGAAAAAAAATATAACTGTCTTTATTCATACTTACATTCGTAGATTCTCTCTTTATGATATAAAAAATAACTTGATTTAATGGTGTTTAGATTTTTCATCTTTTTTTAAGACTTTATTTTTTGTATATTTAGATTTGGTTTAGATTGCATACTTCATATTAATTTGTAGCACTTAGACTATTATGTATGAAAATCTTTATTTATATATTATAATATAAATATTATTTGACTAAGTCAATGGAATATGAATATTACTAAAAGCTTAATATGAAGATATTCTATTGTAATAAGAATCAAATAAGAATTTTTTTTAATTATTTTTTCATAATCAATAAGATTTTAAAACCAATTACATTACTAAAATATACCTTCTAAGAAATGGTTTTCAACAAATATTGAACTTATATATTAACAACTCAAAAATTACAATATAAAAAGATAAAGGACGTGAGATTGATATTGTGGAAGTCTTATATAATTTTAGCAAGGCCTTTGGACTTGAATTCACTTAAATTAAGTTCGAAATATATTTATTTTTTATGATAAGAAATTTTAAATAGATAAATATACAAAGACTTATTAAAGATTTTAATTAAAAATCGTCTTTATAACATTTAAGACTTATTAAAGATTTTATAATTAAAAATCGTCTTTATAACATTTAAAAAATAGTAACTAGATTTACAATGGCTCTTGATTTTTTTCCACAAATGACTCACAATTCAAAAAATTCGACAAGAATAGATAAGATATGATCCAAAATAGCTACTTTTATCAAAATTTAATAATCATATATGTTTAATGATATGTACAATAAGGTCTTATCATGGAAAATAGTCAAATAGATTATAAGGTTTTCTTTTTGATCTAATAGCAATCTTTTTAAATATAAAAAAATAAAAAAGATTATTTAATATTTTTAACCTCAAAGAAGATAGACATTTATCTAAGAAGAATTAAAAAGAAAATTTAACTTAAACCACAAGACTATTTCTATTGGAAATTTTTATTTTTATCTTTTTTTAATTTATAGAAAACATCTAAAAATAAATAATATTAAATTTCAAGAAAATAAAGCTTAAGTTATTTTTAGTAATTTTTTAATGGTCTTTTAAGTCAAAACAATTCTTTAAGACTTATACAAAGATAAATAGTTTACATATTTGAAATCTAATAAAAATAAAATTTTATTAATTAAGAATTAAATTAAGAATATTAAGTTAAAATAAAGCTTCATCTACAAAACTTGTTCAAACACAATTAAACAACATCACTTTATTACAAAATAACTTTTTTACAAAATATGAATCAATATGCAAAAAAAAAATCTAAAATTCTTCATCTAATTGGAGAAACTCTTAAAATAATGGGATGGATCATAAATGACACAATAAGTATTAGGCATTAAAAAAGGAATAAAAATGTATTTGAGCAATAAAATTCCAAGTATTGCCTTGATCATTCATTCCTCCAATGACTCAAAATAATGTAGGTGGTAAAACATAATGTGCTATAATTCTACTTTTAGACTCAACTTGACAAAAGATTTTACACAGGCAGGTTTTTATGTACTTTCGTACAATTGATGTTATGGTTATATTCCCTAATTATTTCAAAAATAAATATTAATATTCTAATTATTATGTTATCACTTTGAAGTTGTGCTAATTTAGTTCATGAGAAATGTAACCAATCGTGAACTTGGGCGTTGCTTTTCCTCGAAGCCATGCACGTCATTTCATGCCCTCTTGGATCATCGACAAGGTCCGTTTGAAGAACCCAAAGCATCCGATCATGCCTCTTTTGCTCGTCAACGTTGGAGCGCTAATAAACAATGTCCTTCAGATGAGCAATCTACGAGTATTCTTCCCCCACGTTGAGGACGCCTCTGAAGTCGTCTGCTCAGAGAGATGTGGCGGCGATGTCATCTCAAACAAAAAGTCTGAGTAGAGTGTGACATAATGATGAACTATAAATAAGAAAGTGTATCTAGAGAAAGGTAAAAAGAAAAATAATTATTAGAAATAACTAGCGCAAAAGTGAAAAGCTGTAAAATTAAAAGCACTGCTTGGCAGCATGGCATGCACAGCCATGAGAAGAAGCCCTGCAGCGACGGTTATCCACCAGCTTGAACATTAAGCAGCCTTAAATTGTGTCAGTTAAAGTAAAAACAAGTGAAGCTCGTGTGTTAGAAAAAGGAGTGTTTGAGAATGAGGTCGAAAAGTTTGAGGAAAGCACCCGTGATCCTGTTGGAGCGAGAATTCTTCATGCAAGATGGACAGTGACCTTACCATCCATTGACAAGTGTAATTTTACTTACTGAACAGAAAGCACGTGTGACATTTTTCACAAGCAAACTATCAATTCTAACTTATTTTTTCTTCTAAAGGAAATTGCTATATCACTCCCTTGCTGCATCTTTTTCTTTTGGGTAATCAGAACAGAACACCACAGCTAAAATTGGAGTTCGATTCAAGATCAGGAGATGGCAATTATTTTGCATTGTTTGTAATGACATGATATCTCAACACGATTGTTTGTGAAAAAGAAAGACTGATTTAACCAAAAATGCAACGAGATCAAGGAGCTTTAACGACACACTGAGCACAGATCACTGTAATTCTGGTAACTCCTGCCAAATCAGACCTCAAATTTGGAATTCGGGGTTCGGGGGATGAGGTAGATTGGATCTGAAAGTTTCCCTCCCAGATTGTGGCTGGTGAAGAATTTGACTGCCGTTAAATAAATCCATCAACGAGTTTTAAGGTTCGGAAGAGCATAAATATAAAAGAATAAAGACATCATCTGGTCTGCACCTGTTACGTGTAATTGCCCACGAGTTATGGATTCTAATTCAATGTTTAGTGCAGTGGGTTAAACCTGGTGCTGTTCGTGTATTCGTGGTAAAAGCATGGGTGAATGAGGGTTTGAGATCACACCTGTGGTGGGTAAAATGGGAGAACTGCTGCAACATAATCCATTGACAACAGTTTCATCAGATCAGCTGCCTAAATATCCTCGCAATCGAAAGCTTGCATGAACCCAGAAAAGAAGATTTTCAATCGTACTCCTAGGCGGAGTTGGAAAACCTACACCTGAAATGCCTATTTGTATCGGTGACCAGCGGGGTTTCTGTAGCATTAGCAGTTCTGGACGTGAATTGCATGCATTGGTAGCCTCGTTAGAATTTAGCAGCTCGAGCCATACAAAGAAAGGAAGAATGAAAGCGTCAGATGTGACCCTCGAGGACCATCAAGTCCTTCGAGACCTTTTTATAGATGTTTCCTTCCAGCCGCTTTCCTGCTGCGCAACTATAATAGAAATCGTATTCTAAAGCAGTAGATGCCGGCAGCAGCAGGCTCTGGTTTTCATTTGGTTCATTTCGGTGCAGACATGAGGCCACTTAGCACCATGGTTCCAACTGGGCGGTCGATGACCATGACGTGCCAAACAGGCCACTGAAATCGTCAAAATGTTGGTGCTTTTTCTAGCACAAGGGAGCCAATTCGGCGAACTGAACAGACTAAACTAAACACGGTTAAATTAGTTCTGTTTGCCTGCGTGCTCAACCACAATTGGATTTCGAAAAACCATTCCCAGTACCCTCTGGCAGTGTACCCAGATCCTATTTCAGCTTTAGAGTCACCAGATCCAGCCTCTTCAGCTATAACCACAGCGTACATGACATTTTTATTTTTTAAAAAAAGTGCGTCTTTTTGGGGTGAATAGGTTCAGTTTAGGGATCAAATCGCTGAAGGTTGCAGCCATGATCTTTCACCTGGAGGTCAGGAACGAGCTTAAATGTTCGGATATCCGAAGCTGATACCATACCAGAACTTCATGTCTCGTCATGAGTATTACCCAGGTACAAGGATAGTCCGTAAATGAAATGCACAGCACCTCACATGGATATTCCTGTCAAGTAACAGTCCCGGCTTTGCACCAATTCAATGCCTCGTGTAATTTGTACTCACGCAACTGAAATCACATCCTGCAAAACCTTCATATCGCCGTAGACACGCTTGGTGGGATTCACTGAGTGCTTACCGTAATATTTTGTTACGCCCAATTGGAATCGACTTGACACATATCCATCTGCACTCAAAGATCGCAACAGACCCCTCGTCGTAACGTCCAGTAACACCAAATGTATTGCAACCAATGTGCTCCAAACGTGCAATCTAAAGTGAGGAAAACGAGCATACATAGAGTCGCAACATTATGTAAGCATGTGTAGAATCACGGAGCTCCAAATGACAAGAGTACCACAAGGCGGAATCCGATCGCAGTTCTCATTTTATTGGAACTCCCCTCCAGTGCCAGAAGATTAGAAGCTGCGTGCAGCACATAGGACGCTCATGTCATACTCAAAGGAAGAGAAGGCAGTGGCGACATAAAATGGGTTCTAAGTGAGAACGAGCATTACACGTGAATGGTGTAACACAAGCCACTGTGTATCTTTGTAAAAGGATAAAAAAGAAGTACAAGAATTGAAAAAAATAGTAATGTAATTATTTCTTCAAGCCTGCAAACTTAAGTGGCAGAAGCTCAATTTGTGGCAACAGCTAAGTTATGGTAAAATCTAAACTCAGGCAAATGCTACTCAAAAAAACGCTGCAGCGTGGGGCCGAGACGAGTCAATTGCCCACGGCGGTCACAGCCGGTTCCTCATCAAGGCAAGGAGGGGAATTCAGGTCCAACAAAAAGGGGAAGTTTCTTCGCAGCACGGGCTTCGTCCTTTGTTGCGGTGTTGCCACAATCTCTGGGCTCTCCGAATTGACGATCACAGAGGAAGACGAATCGCAATCACTGGAGCAGGCTCTCGTCTCAGGCGAGACAGCAGATCCGGGAGTCAGTAAGGTTGGTTGTATACCCGTAGGGAGGGCCACATTTTGATCCCAACGTGCGCCCAGCGACCATGGAATTGCAGAAGTCCTCACTGGTGGAACAGCGAGAATTGAGGGTTTCTTGGCACTGTAAGATGTTTTCCCCATTGTATCCTGAAAGAGGGTTTGGATCGGCGTGGAGGAATGGCGCTTGCTGGATTGTGAAAGCTCCCCGGCATTACCAGGCAAGACGTAGGAGCGACCGGCACTAATGCTCTCGTTCAGAACCTGAGCCATCTCTTCAACCTGGTGATCAGGATCGTGAGGTACCATAGCCGAGAGGTTGAGGTCCAAGCTAGTGCGCCATGAATCTGCCTCGGAGGCAACAGAGGGGCCATACAGTTGGTGACAGTTAAGAGAATTGGGGTGATTTTTCAAAAGTTGATGATGCTGGTGATGGGGTTGACAAACGTTCTGGCAGCTGGGAAGTGTGGACCACGACTCCACAGTGGAACTATGGCTCGTGCTCTGGTCGTCACTAGAAGGTGGGCACGCGAAGTTTGTCTTCGCTTTAGAACCTCGCAATGCCCTTGCAGCACTGTCGTAGGCTCTTGCAGCTTCCTCCGCGGTGTCGAAGGTCCCTAGCCAGACGCGCGTCTTCTTCCATGGATCCCGAATCTCAGCTGCAAATCGACCCCAGGGCCGTTTCCTTACGCCTCTGAAATGCACCCCCTGATAGGCTTGGCTACTCTTAGTGCTTGCTTTCTCGTCCCTCGCAGCCATTTCTCAATCTCTCTCCCACGCGCACGCACACACACAACCTCACTCTCGCAACCCCACTACGCCAATCTCTCTACGAAACCACGATGCACTTCGCAAGTCACCAGACGCAACCACGACTCTTACAATATTAAATCGAAGTCGCAGTACTACCTTCACTGCGAAATTAGAAATAAATAACTAAATAAATAAATGAACAGAATGATGTCCAGCAGATAGTCGACGGATTCTTCGCCAAGTCAAGATATATGCACAAAATTCACCCCCATTTAACCGACGGGCTCTTTCATATGTACAGAAAAGAGTAACTCAAAAATGGAGAAGATGAAGAAGGAGAAGAAAGAAAAAAAACAAAACAAAACAAAAAAAACCTCAACTCGGTAAACTCCCAACTACATCAAACCTCGCGGGCCGGCTCTCGCACAAGCCTCCCACTCTACTTCCCTCGGCCGCAACAAAACTCTCCACTACCTCAAAACTTACACCGCACTCAATCAGCCCACCAACTGCAATGCAACGGTGCTGCAGAGACGAACCCAACTAATCAGTCCATACGCTCGTCACCCTCCTCTCCTCTTCCATCCCTCCCCCTCTGGTCCGATCCCCTCCCAGCTGCTCGTTATCTACCAAGAGGCCGCTTTGCGGATTCCAGAGCGCAGCCGGAGACCTGTGACACACTGCAGGTGAGCACCGCCCACATATAAAGCACAGTGCTGGCTACCTACTAGGCGGAGGACTAAGGTTCATCAACCGAGGAGAGGCCGAGCCGACGGAGCCAGCCACCAAATCTTGGCTGGCAGGCTGGCAGGCAGCCTTGGGGCCATGGCGATGCTGACCTCAGGGAGGGGGGAACGGAGGGTGGACGGGCTATTGCCGGTCACTCTTCACTGGTGGCGCGTCCCAGGTGACGCAGCTCCGCCCTGTTCGTCCCGTCCCATCTTAGCCGGCGCTGGTCTCCCTTCACGCCTCCCATCGTTTGACTTCACGAGTTCCGGGCAGCTCATTCCTGCTCCTCGTTAAGCATTGACCTTAACATCCTATTATATTATTGTTTATTGTTAACATCACCATTATTATAACGCAATTGTTGGTCATGCACAGCATTTCACTGCTTGCGTTCTCATTTTTTTTTTTAATTATTTCTAAGTGGATGTTTCAACAAAAGCAAGACGATGTGAATGGATTTGTTGCTACTTCCAATGTGATATTTGGGTGACAGATGATGTTCTTCGATGGTGAGAAGCCTGCGTGTATTGGTGATTGATATTATGTTGTTTGTGTGCCAGTGTTGAAAAATGATAGGTGATTCATCTGTGATATGACAGTGTTGGGTTCACGTCTATTGATTAATGCACAACCAGAGTTTTATCTAAGGTCTTTGCATGTGTAAAACAATGGTGGCTTCGAGAACTTGCAAAAGAAAAAAGAAAGTTATTCCAACAGAGCAGCGGTAATAGGGTGTTTTGGGGATAGGCTCTCTAAATTCCACCGTCAAGGAGAACAAGACGGCGGTTCCTGCCACGGTTGAGTCCTGCCTTCATCCTATAAAAACATATTGCATTCATCCATCTAAGATTGCTAATGATTATGAAGACGCATTTAGACTTCAATAAAAAGAGGATATATGACAGAAGGTGCCACCTGACACTAAGCTGCAACAAACTAAAACCCATTAAAAGCTCGTTCTTTAGTGGGGCAGAGCTATCTAACAGTGGCCCAAGATGCACAGCTGCCTTTGGTCTCACTTACTTTGGCAACTCCCACCAATGCGAATGCTCCAATCTCACACACACATACACACACACACACACAAAATAAAAACTACAAAAATTATATTAGAAAAACACTGCCCTCCTTTGGTTAAGGATTACTGAGAGAGACGTGGGGATCCATCAACTCTATAGATATATGATTCCAAAATTCTGGTGATTGCAAGCTCTAGTGGGATTCCAATATCATCGAGGAGAATGGTAAGGGTTACAGTTCTACTGAATATGTGCTTTAGGGTTCTGATTCTGCCATTGAGATGGTTTAGGGTTCGGTTTTCATTGATGAGAGATGGTTTGTGGGGGCGAAGTAGGATCTGGAGGCAGAACCCAAAAAGGCGTAGAAAGTAACCCACCTACCTAAAAGGGAGCAGGGGCAGTGGCAGGAGTAGTAATGGAGATGGGGACTTTGGTGGGAAAATGGGAACAGGATTGGAAATTGGAAGACAGCAGTAAGAGCCAGCTTTGCTATAAAAAATAAGAATAAAAATTTCAGCACGAAGTACCTATCCAACAATCTTTTTGGTGCAAGTACCTCAATAACCAACACAGTGATTCCAAGGGGGAGGATAAAAGGACACTGCTGCTGGTCACTGCCGCCTCGAGATCAGCACCCTATTTCCGTTTCGCCTCTCTAAATATAATAACAAACGAAATAATAAGACCCTCGGGCAGAGAGACGCAGCGAAAAAGTTCTGCTCTCTCTCTCTCTGCCCGTAATCCCATTCTCAGTGCCGAAGCTCCCCATCGCCGACTCTACCGGGCAGAAAAATAATGGCAAAGAAAAAAAGATGTCCAGGTCAGCATGTGGTGAAGCTTGTGGTCTGACGACAGGCCCCGCCCAGGGGCGCTGACGTGGAGTTTTCGGGGAGGGAGGTGATTAATCATATGAACCAGCCGGGCAGCGTGGCCTGTTTAATGACGGTTCTTCCCACACACTCCCAGGGGAGTCATGGACTTGTGGCCATTGGCCCAGTATTCTTTCATAGCCTTTATTGCCACATCCTTTATAATAAAGCAGAAGAGGGTGACTTCTACTGAAGTGCCCTGGATCCCCTTCTTCTGCTGAATCTTGCCGCCTGGTCCCTTTTCCATTTTGCTTTGCATGGCAGTTGATTCCAATTTTCCCCAGCCTTGAAGAAAAGGTGGGTGTTCCCTGAGTGAGTTCCCAGGGTTCCCCTGAGTTCTCTGAGTTTGTCTTCCTCCTCCTCCTCCGGGCAGCTTTGTTTGTATCACTGCCCGCCTTCTTTCTTCCTCTGCTCCCCCCCCCTGGTTGTGTGATTTGATTGATTAACCATAAAAGTTTGAACACGGCAATGCCCACTAATTGTACCATTTTTGTTTGATTGAGTGAGAAGATGGGATGAGACAAGTGCTTGTGCGCACGGCAATCAATTAATCCTGCACTCAATCACATATCTCAATATGAAAGACAGGTCTCATTCACATCACATACACATTATGTATGGCTCATCAGGGACCTGTTCCCAATTTACTATCACCATCTTATGCATTGCTTCCCAAGCAGGGAGAAACATATAAAACTTCTCAGACAAAATGGAACATACCACATATCACTTTTACTATAAACACTGTTCTTTAATGCTATTGATTATTGAATAAAGTTCTTTTTCTTTTTCTTTTTCTTCATGCAACAGCAGAGTGACTTGGGCAATCTCTCATTTCTATCTCACTGCCCTGGTTATGAAATAAATGGATCCAGGAGGCATCTTGGGACATGGAGAACTCTTTAAGGGCATGCAATCCCTCGATCCAAAAGCATGATGTTCCCCCACCAATGTCTATGAACTGTGAAATGATTTTCTGTACCAGGAGGCCTTTGCAGCTAAGTTTTAGGGGGAGCTGGCTGGCAGCTGATTCAAAGTCTGCCCACCCAAAGCTTCCTCCTAAAGTATTGTGGGGCATGGCAGTTCCAAAATTTGGCATCTGTGAAGTAAGGAAACAAGGATGTGTTGTCAACTAGGGCAGACAAAATTTATGTCTGAGTTTGTTTTTTCTATGTATTTTTATCATGTATTAATTTTCCATTGAAATTATATGTTTTTAGTGGTTATGAAACTACGCTTTAAATGATTTTAGAGACATTTATTAAAATCATATCATATTCAATCACATACAGCATTAAATGTCAACTTTGAGTGAAAGTGGATTTTGATGCTATTTTCACATTCTTCTACATATATATATAAAGACTTGTCATTTAATGGTTTTTTGTAGAATTTTTTAATTGAAAAAATAGATAGATTTTTTTTCATATATTTTAAAATTTTCATACTAATTGATTTTTATTGTCATGTTGATTGTAACATGTAGGTATTTATATACCAGCAGTAAATCTTTTCTTTTAGCTACATGTCGTAATAAAACAAATAAAACGAATAAATAATAAATAATAAATGACCAATCAAAACAGTTGGTTATTGTGTAAATTGTCCTCAGACTAAAAAAAACTACTGAACTATTATGAAATAAGAAATAAAATTATTACACAACCAATTGTATTTTCACCACACTTGCACAGAAAAGGGCTATTTAGGAAACATATATATATATATATATATAAGTGTGTGTGTATGTTTTTTTGACTAATGGAACAATCAAGCATTGCACAGTAATAACAACATCATCCAATTATGATTTATTTTTAAAAACAAGATTCATGATACTAATACTTTATTTTTCTGGGTTCTTGGAGAAAATGATTAAACCCAAAAAAAATTTGCAAAACAATGAAAAAAAAAATTACATATTTGTATGTAAATGATGTCATTCCTAAAGTAAAATAATTTACTCAAGATTTATTTGCTTGTTGTCCCAAGCTTTTGGTTAAAATATTTTGTACATAGACACAAGAGTACCATTTATTATGTATGTATATATATATATATATATATATATATAAAAATAACAATAATAAAAAACCACTTTAAAGTTGTCACAGGGGCCTATGTTTGGTGTCAACTTCCTGTATTCCAAAAGAAGTTGAAACCAAGTTCCTGAAACATGAAAAGTCATGAAAAAAAAAAAAAAAAAAACTCACCTTAGTTTATAACATTTTGACATCACAGATGAATAACAAGTAATATATATATATATATATATATATATATATGGAATGGAAATTCTCAGGAACTTAAAATCCTAGTAGTAAAAAAATTACTTTCTTGCACACAACAACCTTTACAACCCAATAATCCAAGTTAAAATAACCATGATTTTACTTTTACTGGAGATAGAAGGAAAGAAAGGGGGGGGATCAACAGGAGGATAGCCACCATCGTAGCCTTGTCTCTGGGGACTCCTTCCGGATAAGAGGGGTTCTAGACTAGTATGGTCAGAGTCATAGACCTTGTCCCATGGGGCGGTGGGAGCTTGCTTGCGGCACAGCATGCGCAGCATCAAAAGCATGATATGCTCATGCCTCACTTGTCCCCGCTGTAGCCCCCCTTGCACCACATAAAATATAATCAAATAACAACCCGAAACAATGCAAAAAATGAAGGAATGAGGAGGTGTGGGGTGGGGTGGCACACTCCAAGTGTGGTGACCTAGGGGGCTTGCAAGCTAACTTTGTTGTTGAGCCTCTCTCAAGGCACTCCAATTGGACCAGGTCCCATCTTGTGAGCCTTGAGCACATTTGCCTTCTGGGCTTTTGTGTGGTTGGCTTGATTGCTTTGTCAGCATAATCTTGTCCTACTCTCCTGATTAACGCACAGAGTGTAGAATATTTAATGGGTTGTGTATGAGTTTGAGAAGGAGTGGGGATGACTGTGCACCACCCATTAGGAAGTGTGCTTAGGGTTGTCATTACTGGAATCATGTGCTCTGCTGAACAATGTGTGTATTTATCTTGTATCTGGATTGGAATAAAGATAAGTCTTGCCACGGTGGCTAATTC